CACAGCCGAGCAGGCAGCTCCAGATCCCAGGGAGCAGAGCAGCAGCAGTCAGAAGCTGGAGGGGGTCACTGTGGGGGCTGTCTGTGGGGGAGCCCAGCTTCTCCTCGCTGGAACCCCTTCAACTGGAGCCTCACCACACAAGGTACAGACACATGCTCAGAGGAAAAGAAAGAGCTTCTCCAGTTCTTTATCCTCCCGCGCTGCTCTTTTGCCCTGTCCAACATTAATACACACTGCTTTCTTATGCTTAACAAAAGAACAAAGATTACAATACACACAAGAGCACATATAACAGTTCAAGACAGAAAGATCGTCAGGGGTGCATAGTACTACAGCAATTCAAGTTCCGAAAGAAGATTAAACACATTAAATAAGAATAATGTCTGCACCGCTTTCAGATTTTTGCACTTTGAAATACTCTGTAAATACCCCCTTACATCCATTTTAAACTGCTCAAACACAGGGGTCTTCCCAGACCACCTCATTTTATGTATATAATAACGTGCCGTTATAATCGTTACATTTATTACAAACGACATTTTGATATTGTTTTCGATGGGGCTGAAACTTCACCTAACATCTTTTTCATCACAACAATTATCAATATGGGTTTCTGTTTTAATACAAGTCTGCAACTTAGTCCAGGAAATGTTTACCCCGGGACAGAACCCAAACACGTGCCGAATAGTTTCAGGGCTATCGTCACAAAAAACACATCGGTCGTCTATATTGGTTTCAGATCGCTGGGTAACAGGAGTCTTAACTGGGTAACATTCACGGCAGCAACACATCCGGGGAAGGACACCAGCTGCTGCTGACTCAGTTAGCCGACTGGAGGGAGGGACAGTGCTCAGTCTCTTGCAGTTCATTGGTTCATTCGTGCTGTAGGCGTGACTGAACCCTCTACATTTCAGTTAATCAATAAGGCAGAGGCTTTGGCCTAACTGCTGCCTGTCCCAGCCAAAAGCACATAGAAATGTTGTACCGAGGGCGGGTTCTGTGAGGACGGAGGCGGAGACGGAGACTCAGACACGGCGCTGTGTTTCTCCCCTCGTCGCCGGGATCTGCCAGCAGCACCGCCGCGGCCCGTCCAGAGAGGCAGAGAGACAGAGCGGGTCACGGCTCTCACTCCAGAACAACAACACTTTTTTTATCTGGGCTCTCCTTTCCGGGTATTTTTTTCCTCTTAAAAGAAAAAGGGCATCGCCCGTCTGTTCTTCACGTTTGCGGTAAGTAACCTTTTAAACTCTGAATCATGTCGAGCTCCCGGTACAGCCTTCTCTCTTGGAAATGAAAACCCATCACAGGTCTGTCTCCTGCCAGAGTAACTCATTTACCCCTGTAGCTCTCCAGTCCTCACACGTACAAACCGAGCGGCTTGTAATGGAAAGAGAACTATTTAATGAAGCCGCCTCTAAAATAGCTTCTCACTCCTGCAGTTCGCAGTAAGAAAGGGCTACAGGCTGGAGAGTCTGTTAGGGCCATCACACACGGGGGGAGTGGAAGATGCGAGGAGCACAGAGCAACTTAATAAAAGCACAAGCAAAGGTTTATTCCCGGCTGAAAAGAAACACCCGAAACGTTGTCCATTTACTGTACCAACATCGCGGCAGGGAGAGTTTTAAAACACGTTTTTAAACACCAGAAAGAGAAAAGAGGAGACAGAAAACTGTAATGGGGAGGTGAACCGAGCAGAACACCCACCCTTGATCTTGAATGTGTTCAGATTGACTTTTGATATCACTAGAATTAATCTTCAATTACCTAACTTTCAGAGACGACTTGGTGTGATGACAGAGTCTGTCTAGTGGCCCAATTGTTACATGAAGAGGGCAGATTGTTTACTGACTTTATGGAAAATAAGATTCCTCTTACTCTCCGAGAACACGCTATGGTCTTTGATACTGTTCCCGAGAAAGTGGTGAGGCTGTTTAGAGGTAGTCTCGGCCTTGCAAATAGATTATCTTCTGATAATTTATTGTTGGATGGAATAGATATAAGAAATGCAATAATTACTATGTTAGGAACTTGTGTAAGTCATGTTATACATTCTTGTATCTCCTTTTGGAATGCTATGTTTAGGAACATAAATAGGAAATTAGTGTGGTCAAATCCTGATAAATATTGTCTTACAAATAAAGTTAAAGACATTTCATTTAAGATTGCTCACAGATTTTTATCCTGTTAAATTGACACTTTCTAGATTTAAACATGAGCAAGATGAGTTCTGTGTATTTTGTAATGATGAGAAGGAATCTTAAATTACATTTGTTTCACTGCATATAAACAGAATTGTTTTGGATAGATCTGCAAAATATGAATGCTCAACACTTAGTTAAACGTTAAACTGAAAGATTCTCATTTTATATTTTGTTAGATCTGATTTGGATAAAGGATGTTTTTATTAATCTGTTGAATATTTTGGCTTAATATTTTACCCACAAATCTAAATGGTCTAATACTGCTCCCTCTATTCATGCTTTTAAAGTTGACTTCCTTTTTTATTTAAAATTCTATTAGAAATTTAAAGAATCAAAAGGCAAGAAATACAGTGGAAATGTGTAAAGCTTTTAGTTTGCGCAATTGTGAATTCCCCCGGCTGTGAAGTGTCTCTCTCCGTGTACATCTCACTATTTTGTCTCCTTTTTTGTTTTTGGTGTTTAAATAACTTAAATTTTAACAAAAATAATTCGGCACAGGCGTAAACCTTCCTTTTGACAAAATGGCGGCGGGGCGGTGGCCGTCATGGCGACCGACTGTGCTCGAAACCACAGCCGTTGGCTTCCTGCCTCGTCTTCTTTTATATAAAAAAAAGAATCATACTGAAGAAACCCAAAGGGGTAAAAGTACTTTACAGGCAGGTAAAGCACGAATATCTTGACAGATGAGCCACACGGGCCCCCTCCCCGCCCGCCCTTCCTGAAAATAAAGAGGAAGCCAGTTCGACAGACGTACCTGCTTAGTGAAGCACAGCGATTACACTTTTGTTTTCAGAGAGAGACGAGCATCGCCATTAAGTCCATAGGAGAGAGAGAGAGAAGCATTGCCATTTAGTCCATATATTTAAAAAAACCAGCGGCAAACTATGTAAGAGCCATCGTTAAATTAAAGAACCAAATAGAAAAAAAAGATCACGGGCTTGGAAATGGAGCGAATTCAGTCGGTAGCGCAGTGACATGAAAACTGCTCTTTAAGCCTGAAAGCTGATTGGTGGGCGCCTCCTGTTCCGCATTGAAACTACGTTGTGATTGGCTAGTCTAGGGGAGGGGGGTAGTCAATGTTCCCAGCTGGCTCCTCCCCTTGAGGTTGTTACAGTCACAGTAACACAGTAACACCGACACAGACTCACAGTGTCTGACTCCAGTACTCCAGTACCCGGCCGGTCTCTGGGCTCAGGAAGGCGGGTCGAGGTCTGTCCCGGGTGCGAAGGAGATTCCCATCGTTTTACAGGAGTAACCAACCAGGGGAGGGGAATGAATCAAAGCAAATCAAAGTTTCTCTCTCAAACGCACCACAAGACAGCGTGCAGCAGTAGCTGCTGGCAATGAAGTGTCTTTTCTGCGAGCTCACAAGAATCGCAAAAATCACACAATTGAGGTTACGAAAATAAGGTTACATGATGATAGGTGTAATAGAAATGGAATAAAACTCGATATGAGTCCAGCTGCGATGTGTCCAGGCTGTGTGCAGTCCCAGTGTCCCAGTGGTGCAGTTGTGCCCAATACAGTGCAGTCCCAGTGTCCCAGTGGTGCAGTTGTGCCCAATACAGTGCAGTCCCAGTGTCCCAGTGGTCCAGTTGTGCCCAATACAGTGACAGCTGTGTCCGTGTATCCAGGGCGGGGGACGAGCTGAAGGAGCCGCAGGCCGGCTGTTCAGCAGTCTGACTGCCTGGAGGTGGGAGCTGTTCTGTAGTCTGTCGGACTTGGACCGGATGCTCTGGTACCGTTTACCGGCCGGTAGGAGGGAAACCAGTTTGTGACTGGGATGACTGGGGCCCTTGAGAATGGACCTGGACTCTCTAGTAGAATAGCGCCTCTCTACCAGCCTGCACACATCTCTGCAAACCCCCCGAGGTGTTTGTCTGATTTCGTAGGTAAGAGCCGTGAACCCGAAGTAATGAGCTTCTTTTTTAAAAGGTCTGGAGTTTCGTTTACCGCGGACACCGCTCCAGTTTAAGGATTAAGCGTGTAGATTTGTTTTAAAGTGTATTTTCAGGGGCTGCGGGTTGTCACAGACGAAGACCGACCCTCGTTTGCGAGTCGTGTCGAGTCGCTGGGTGAAAAGTGTGTTGTAGTAATATGAGAGACCATTCTGTTGTTTAAGCGTGTGAGGTTATAGTAAAAGTTTGAGACCGGGGAAGACGACCTTTTCTGATTTTCTAGAAAATAAACTTTAGAAAGGAGCTCCTCCCCTCGGCAGTGAGTGACTGCCCCTCCCACTCGCCTATGAAAGACGGAAGTTGCCCAGTGCGTTCATGGGAGTTGTAGTTCGTGAAGGCCGCTGTGAGCAGCTGTACCCAGTTCTAAAACCCGGCTCCCCTTAAGACAAGCTTACACATGCAATCGCAACAAGATAAGAAGCCCCCTATTGTTCTGCGGTAAGCAGGGCCCAGCTGTACCAGCATTAAGCTTATTTTACACTGTTACGAGCGGGGGAGAGATCCGAGAGCTGTTGCACCTCTGTCCCCGGTTAGTTCACACTTAGGCGAAATTCGTCTTCCATCAAAGCGGAGCGAGTTTAGGCAGAGCCCGGGGTCAAGTAAGCGTTTTATCAAGGAGTA